TTAGCTCTAGTCCCGCATCAATGGAAGCAGGGAAGATTATTGATGTGTTTGGAAGTCAACCTGGATACAACAAACAGCAAAGTGACGCAAGACAAGCGTATACTCAGGCGTTATTTGACGGAGTCGAAACCTGGGTGAGGTTGCCAAAGAGCTGCTGGCCAGCCGCATGGAAGAATATGCATGATCCAGTCTGTCCATTGAGGTTAGCCTTATACGGACATCCCGATTCGGGCGGATTATGGGAAAGGCATTGCCAACAGGAACTTGAGAAGGTTGGATGGACCGCCGTCCTTCCGGAGATATGGCAATCAATCTTCTATCATGCCGAGCTGGATTTGTTGCTGGTTATTTATGTGGATGACTTTAAGATGGCTGGACCCTCAGACCACCTTGCCAAGGGTTAGGAAACGATTTCCAGTGTTATCGACATGGATCCAGCAGAGGTAGCGGGCCGATACTTTGGTTGCAATCACTTTGAGGAACGACAGGTCAAGCTTCCGCGCGAGGCGCATCCTTTTGCTTATGTTTTTGATAAAGAGACAAAAGCCTGCGCCGGCCTAAGGGCCGAGCCGTCTAGGACCGAGGACTACTGGAGTGTGGACCCCGAACTAGGCGCAGTCGTCAGGCATCATCTTTACCCCCGAAAGCGACTGTATGTTCCCACGGAAGATGACGTTAATGAGTATCCAACCATGCGCACTCAAAGGATCACCCAGATGAACAATGGCCAAACCATCACCGATGACTTTAACGAGGGGGGAGCCGCCAAACAGAAAGAATGGTGGACAGGTAAGACCTACTTCCCAATCGTTGACGCTCATACTCCTACCGAATTGGCCGCCGCTGCTAAGGGTAAGGCTAGAAGCAAAACCGAAGCGAAGCGTGAAGCCAAGCAGCAAAGGTTCAAGGACCCCAGTACCATACAGTCCGATCCTGTTCCGGCAATGAACAAACCTGTTAATGTCATGACTTATGACATGAAAGAGTTCCTTTCCTCCTGTGTGGATAGGTACTGTGAACTCGCCAAAGTTGAACGCAGTACTCTCAAGAAGGTCGCCACGCCGTTCCACGAAAATAGGATTGCTAAGCCCATAGAGGACAATGAGCCTGCTGGCCGATTGCAACCAATCGCTAGCAGAGTACTCATGAAAATCCTTTTTGCTGCACGGATGGCCAGATGGGACCTACTTAGAGCCATACAGAGCCTTGCCAGCAGGGTGACG